CAGGCCTCACGTCCGCCAAGTGAGGCGACCGGGCTCGGGGCTGCGGCTCCCAACATCTCCCCCTTTTTTATTTTTTATGAATGTGCGCATCGTAGCCCTTTCTGGACTGGGTGCAGAGGCTTATGCCCTATGTGTAGGCCCACCGTAGGTCCTTGGCTTAGACCCTGGTCGGCCGTCCCATGGTCTGCCAAGGCCCTGAGGCCCTCGTCCTTTTTCTAGGGCCAGGCACAAACTGGACGGAACCTGGATGTACACAAGCTTGTACTCATTTTCTCTCCGTAAAGAAATCCCCTCGGAGAGAAATTTAGACCTGGGCAGCATCTAACAGTCCAGCGGCTTACGTGCAGGATGGGGTAGGGCCTGGCTTAGGTCGAGTCATGCTGGGGAGGCACGCTCTTACCCGTCATTGACTCACCTACCCTGCTATATCATAATTTTTTAGAGGAGGAGTGTGGGAAGCTCACCGTCCCTAGACTCGGTCGTAGGCTAGGCGAGCGAGCCATGCATATGCCTGAGGATCTTTTTGTCTATTTTGGGCTACCGCTATTTCTATTCATCTTGTTGGTTGGTCTGTGATGGATCTCCAGTAGGGCAGGTCTGATCTTTAGTCGAGGGCTTTGTTGTCCGTGTCAGTCTCTCCGGTATCTACAGTGGTTCTCGTCCCGATTCCTGTGGGAAAACACAAACCGCGCCTCGGTTCCAGCTGACCACTGGATCCGGGCCCATCCATTGTCCTGTCAGGACATCTTTCCACTTCACCCACCCTTTATGGTTGGGGGAAGGGTTGCAGTGCTCCACAGCTGGGGAGCGATTATCATTATTTAAATTTAAAAAATTGTGTGTGAATAGTGCCATGGATAATCGTGCCTTTGGGGCCAGGCCTTGGCCTACTCCCCCTTTTTGTTTTTTATTTTTTATTTTTTATTTTTATCTTTTTTGTTTTTTTTTTTTTTTTTTTTTTTTTTTTTTTTTTTTTATTGGTACCAGGGATCGAACTAACAACTGCACACTTGCAAGGCAGGCGCTTAAGCCGCTGAGCTAAATCCCCAGCCCCTTTTTCCTCGACCGGCGTTTTTCTCAGCCTGCTCGGCAGAGTAGCCGCCCATGAAAATATCGTCTGCCCAGCGGCGCGACGTCATAAGACTGCGGTCGCGACAGAGTGAAACGGGGCGTCACTTCCTGTGCCGGCTGAGGGAAGGGAGGGTTTCCTGTGGCGGCCTCTCGGCGGGGAGCCGCTTTTAGAAAAGAGCTCTAGGGCGGAGCGGATGGCTCTCTATCTCCTCCCCGCCAGAGAGCGCCGGGGAACCGAGTCTGACCATCAGCGCGCCGACCCTCTCCCACAAGCATTCTCTTGTTCCACCCCCGGTCTCCCCGATTGGCGTTTTTCTCAGCCTGCTCGGCAGAGAACTCTGCATACCAGGCTCGCCAATCCAGGTAACTGCCCGAGGGCAGACAGGCCTTTGCCAGCTGAATCCAGTCCGCGGGGGTGAGGGGCCCAGAAGACAGATTCTCCAGCATGGCAATGGTGTAAGGCGCAGTCGGCCCAAAGGTTGTAACTGCATTTTTAAGTTTTCTAATCTGCTTTATCTCAAAAGGCTCCCATACATTGCGTCCCTGGCCCATAGCTACTTGTACAGGAAATATCTCGTAGGGGCCACTATCTATCCCAGGTGGATGTACCTCATGAGACAAGCGTCCCCCCTGCCAAAGCCGCCTGTAAAAATACCGACCTGCCGGCGGCGGAGCATAAGACAGCGGCCGTGATTGGGCGGAAAATGGGGGCCCGTGCATCACTTCCTGTTCTGGCGAAGAGGAAGGGAGCTCCCGGGCGGCCGCCCCGCGGCGAGGGATCGCCTCCGGAAACGGCCCCCAAGGTGGGGCGGAAGGCTTCGCCTCCCTCTCGCGCCGGGGAGCGCTCAGGAGCTCTCTACTCCTCCGCAGACCAGGTTGAGCAGAGCGCAATTCGCGGGGCAACGCTGGAAAAGAGCCCTGCGACTCCTTATTGAGCGACTTAGGCTCCTGACAGCTGGTCTCTTTGGCCTCCTTGCCATTTAACTTTCCCTCGTCCTCGGAGTCAGACGACTCCGAGGCTAGAGCCCCGTCCTCCTCCTTAGCATCCTTGTTCCCCTTGACAGACACCTCTCGGGAGCTCCCTGACTGGGCCTGCTCAGATACCCTGCATACTTTTGTAAGCTCTTGAGAGCTTTCTCCACAACCACCCTCGCTCTTAGTGCCGCTACCTAGCATGTTTCCCATTTTTTAATATGTTACTCACCGCGTGAGGCCCAAGGAATCCGCCACTTACGCGTGAGCCTGAGGGGAGTCTAAAAGCCCTGTAGGTGCGCGCCACCCAGAGCCCAGGCTTATCCCCAACTCACCTGTCTCGCAGCTCTGTACTGGAGCGTTGTCCACTTCCACGTCGCGGGGGTGATCAGTCCCCGTACGGGCCACCAAATGTCGATGTCCGCTCCCGGCCGGCAGGAAGGACACACGACACAGTCTGGTAGTGGACAACCTTTTCTTTTTATTTTCCTTCTCCGTACAGCCTGCCCTGGGTTCTCCCAGCTGAAGCCTCCTTTGGTCCGCTCCCCGCGGCTCCTTTTGTGCTTCAGCCTGCCCCAAAGCCTCTACCGGTCCGCTCTCCGCGGCTCCTTTTGGGCTTTTACTTTCGGGCTTCTATCTGGCTTCTACTTCCGCCCAGGGGTGGCACCGGTATATATACGGGTACAGTGTCCAATCATGTTAAAGTAAGCAAGGCAAGCTGATTGGCTAACATCATCAGTTGCCAGGCAGACTATATTGTTGAGCGGGTTGTTTACGCGGTAAGCAGGAAACTAACATATTCGATGGGAGGGGTAATTTACCTCAGGCCTCACTCTTTACTACAGGCCTCACGTCCGCCAAGTGAGGCGACCGGGCTCGGGGCTGCGGCTCCCAACACCTACCTCCTCGAGTTCCTCTGAAAAAATGAATCTCACACGTGAATAGACTTTGAAAAGTTAAAGGACAGCAGCCCCAAAGGGCACTTTAGGGACACTGATACTGCATCTGTCCTCAGAGGCTCCTTCCTTCGGATCCTCTCCCCTTCTGCAGTAACAGGCGTCCCCCTCATCCCCCAGCCCTTCTTTCTCTTGCTTGGGCTGGGCTCCTTCCTCCTCTCTGCAAGCACCTGGCTTTGACAAAATGAATTCCGCTCCCTCTATTTTATGATCAGAAGAAGCTGTGCGTCTCACCTTTGGCTTCTGCTGCCTGCTTTTTCTCTCTCTGATGTTCCCTCTGGTTAGAATAATGATCCCTCTTGGAGTTGTGCAAGCCTGCTGTAGCTCTTGTATCTCTGCAGCCGGATTATCAATACTTTACGTCAAGTCACTTTTTTAATGGGCCTCGCCCCATTCTCTTTTCAAGAGGCAATTAAAAGTGAATTAGAGCCAGGCATGGTGGCACGTGTCTAGGAGGCAGAGGTAAAAAAAATCAAAAGTTTGAGACCAGTCTGGGCTACTTACTGACTTAGAGCTTCTCTCAAAAAAAATTTTTTTTAAAGCATCAGGGATATAGATCAAAGGAAAGATCCTACATTCAATCCCAAGTACCAAGAATAAACACATACATGGAGATTAGATGGGGCCAAGTGTAGTCTTTAGAGATTTGCTTTAGGATACATGGAGTATTATTCGTTGTGATGAAATAAATTTATCACTTCATGTTCCAGAGAAGAGAGTAGACAGAAAGATGTTTAAAATACAGAGATGGGATTTAGGGAACGGTGTTACAGGGTCCTCAGAGAACAAGAGGAGATAAAGCCCTCTAGGAGGAGGTCAAGGGGATTTACTAGGATTCCAGGTGACACCTGGACCATCTGGAGAGCTGGAAGAGAAGTCCAAAAGGTAGAGACGTGTCACAGACAGTGGAGGTGAGGGGGTAACAGAACAATATGAAGGTGAGAGGCTCAGGCATGACGCAGAAGGTATTTTGATAACCTCAGAGTTGCAAATGGAAGCTTCTGCAAGCTGACCTCGCACCCTGTGAGCCTCCCACGTGACCCGTCGTGTCTGTTAAGTGGTGAGGCCGTGAGAATCCCACCCATTTTTCTCTTTCTCAGTGTTTGCAAGATCCATTTCTTTCCTCTCATCCTCACCGGCACACCTCGAGCCCACACTGATGCAGAATGAGTCCAGCTGGCTCTGCGAAGCCAGGCTTTGCCCCTCTGACTCCACTCTGGGGTTTTTAAACTAATCTTAAGTGCTTCTTCCTGCATAGGTCCCTCTCACTAATAATGAAAGTAAAAAGGCTCTTTTGTGGTAAAAGTGTCACAGAAGCCCTGTAATAATCCCAGCACCTTTTATCCTGGTGTTTTCTCTGGAATTAGTTGTTTATCGCCCCAGTTTTAAAGCTGACATCAAATGCATTGCCAGGTAGGATTTATAGAGTTTAATAAAAGTGTTTTGGGGGTTCATCTCAGTTGAATCTGCAATAACCGTTTCTCAATACAGAAAGTCATCATCTTGCTTGTCCTGTTCACTTGAAGGAAAATCCATACATTTTCTTTCGGTATTTAAAAGAAAAATCCAATTTTAATAGGCTTTTTTTTCCAAAACCTTTCTTGCACAAATATAATTTTATTTCCTCTTAGAATACATATTTTGAGTACAGATTTTTATTTTTTTATTTTTTAAAATTTCTTAACTACTTCACCTTCCTAGAAAAATTACTCGATGATTCCTTTGGGATATACATTTGTATAATCCTTTTATCTAAAGAATGTGTATATTTTCTCTAATCTTTATTGGATTGGGCTAATAGCTAACGTGTAAGCAGAATTGGTTTTCTATATTAAGGCCATTTTTTGTGTTAAGGTTTCTTTGGATTTCGAGATACACTCATGGGGATTGGCCTTGCTTTAAAGGGATGATTATGATGTTTTGTTTTTTGTGGTAATGCCTTTGTCTTTGTTCTCAAAAGTTTATCCAGACACATACAATAAAACATTCACACCTGTGCAACTGAGCCCTTTAATTAGCAATGCTCGTATGGAAGAGACATAACATTAAAGTTTTTTTTGTCTTTTTTGTTTTTTATCAGTACCAGGGATCAAACTCACGACCACCTGCTTGCAAGGCAGGTGCCGTTGAGCTAAATCCCCAGCCCCATTCAGAGCACAAAGCACACCCACTTGCTTGCTTGTTCTTTGATCTTTTCAACACCAGCACTTGGTAGTGTCGTGGACTTCAGACGGGAGCCACACAGGAGAGGACCAGCATCCCGCCAGCTTTGGGGGTGGTGTGGAGCTGCATATTTCCCTAGGAACATTAAACAAATCATTAGGCTAAAGAAATGATCCTAATGACTCCATGCTCCATGTTTTAGGAAGAAAACTCGGCTATACCTTCAACAATCGGAACTTTCACAATGTGTCCTTGGGGCAAGGACAAGAGGTGGTGGCTGAAGCTGCACTGGACCTGGCCGCCAAGAAGGGCCACTGGGTTATTTTGCAGGTATGCCCCCCTCTCCTGATCTGGGTTGTTCTTAACCTACTGTCTAGTTAGGCTTCCTGTCTAACTTTTGTGCATGCCCACTTTCACCCAACCTTTCCTTCACATCTTTATCTTCTCTTTTCCAGCACCCCCACACACATCCTCTTCCCCCGCCACCTCCACTACGTAACTCTCCATCCCACTCACCTGCTCTACTGAACTCTCTAGTGTAAACAGTCTGCTCACAAAAGGAAGTGATTTCCACTTTGATGAGTGTTTTAGAAGGTGGCATCTAGTTGAAGGCCATAGCAGTGGGTCCTCTCAGCCGCAGATTCCTTCCCATAAATGTTGTGGACTTTCTTAGCTCTTTTCTACTGTGTTACATGTTTTTGGTTGTATGCATGATGAAACATGGGGGCCGCTCCCACCTCTTCACTGAAAAGTCACATTAAGTGTTTGGGAATCTGGAAAGTCTACTGCTGGTAATTTCTCCAAACAGTTGCAAGAGGGGGAAAAGTCACAACTCTTTTTATAAAACCTGTTCTCTTAATCATCCTTCATGCAACTCACACGGGACTATGGCAGAATAATTGGCTTTCTCCTCGTATCTCTGATAACACTCTACCATCAGCTCTATCAGAGTGTCACCCATCGCTGTGATGACATGATTTGTTATATGATTTGTCCTTCACTAAATTTCCTTAAGAAAGTGATGTTCCTTATGTACCTTTCCTCAACAGACTACCTTAAACCTAATAGATGCTCAATAAAAGCCTGTTGGACCCAGCATGGTGGCACATGCCTGCAATCCAAGCTTACTCAAAGGGGGACAGGGGAACTTCAAGTTCCAGGTCAGGCGGGCAATTTAGTGAGACTCTCACTCAGGGACAAAGATCCATTTGAAAGGGACTGAATGGGTAGCTTAAATATAGAGCATTTGCCAAGCATGTGTGAGGCCCTGGATTCAATCTCCAATACTGAAGGGGAAAAAAACCTTTTAGCTTAAAGAATCAATGAAGAAATTAAAGAAAGATGAAGTGCAAAACCTAATCATTCTCACCCCAGACTGGCTTTCATTGCCGAGAACTTCATCTATCTCCTGATTACTCTGCTCCACATGTTACTGCTAGTCTCCATCCTTCATTATCTTGTTATTTATTGGGAGCCTAGCAGTGCAGGGATCTACAGTTCCCTGGGACTGCTTTTCAGGAAGCAAGAGAAATCCCAAGAGAAAAGAGGACAACAGCTGGATTCCCTGCTTCCTCCTAGGTGCTGGGAGCTGTGACCACCTCCCCCATTCTGAACCCGGGTGCCTTAGAGAACCAGCCCCTCAGCCTGGAGATCAGAGCATTTCTGGCACTGTGCTGCTGGCTCCCAAAAGCCCACTAACACAACGAGCAGGAGTTTCCTCTTCCTGACCACCCAGGAACCCCGTATTTTCTGCTGTTGTAGATTCTGAGAGCTCTCACAGATTTAGTTCAAAGGTGACCAGTTGTTTATCCTGGTGAGCATCACACAACCTGGATTCCTTCCTCTCCTCCTGAATGAAACATCTGATTGTGCAGTGGATTTGATCTGCCCAAACAGTAAAGTGCTGACAGATACAAAAGGTCTCTGCTGGTTTGCAATATCACTCCTTAAGAATCGTGGCCATCTGATTTTTTAAGAATAACCTGATAAACTGAAAACATCATACCACAGTGATACATGTGCACCCATGTTTATAGCAGCACAGTTTGTAACAGCCAGATCTTGAAAACAACCTAAGTGTCCATCAACTGAGGAATGGATAAAAAAGTTGTGGTTTTTTTATGCAATGAAGTTCTACTCAGTTATAAAGAAGGATCACATTGAGATATTTATAAATAAATGGATGCAACTTGAGACCATACTCATAAGCAAAATATATCAAACTCACATGTATAAAATCGTATAGTCTCCCTAGTGTAAGAAATGGTAAGAGTACATAAGAGTTTATGGGAATCATGATTCCCCATTACATTGCTTTGAAGCCTTATAATGTTTTCATTCATTAGTTGGAATGGTTTTATTCTGGCTTGTTTGATTTTATTTGTGTGATGGTATGAACAGCTATTTTGAAGAAAACAAGACATTAATAATGGCCAGTGCTGATTTAATATCATCTTACTCTGAAGTCCTACCATGCTTTTGTTTTTCTGTTTCCATTGGTTCTACCATGTTGTGTCTTGCTGGATTTTAATATGTGTGGTAGCATAAACAAATTTTTTATGGAAAATGAGATAATATAGTAGTCATTGTTCATTTTCTGCTATTTGGTTCTGAATGCCCTATAATAGTTTCATTCTCTGGAATGGTTTTATACTATGTAGACATTGTTCATTTTCTGTTATTTGGTTCTGAATGCCCTGTAATGGTTTCATTCTCTTGAATAGCTTTATACTATTTTATTATGTTTAATACTATTATATGTGAAGTTATGCTCAACTATCTCAAAGAAAGAGACATTATGGTTGTCTTGTGGTGAAGTACTATGTTGCTTACATTGTTATGATCTGCTTTGATCTGTCCTCTTTTGTCTTAATCTCTTTAAAGTAAAATTAAAAAAAAAATTTTTAAAGTACCCTGATATACTGAACTGGACTAGACTGGAGTCTTATGAGACAGTGTTCCCAAGCCTAAGAACCTGAGAGTCTGGAGAGGATAAAAGGAAAAACATACTTCTTGTGTCCCTTTCAAGACAATTTTCAATGATATCCGTAAGTGAACAATATCCATAGGTGAATATCCATAAGGTGAATGGCTCTGAGAATCCTGTGGTATAAATATCTTGTTCAACCCAGAGTTTCCCAAATGGATCTAACACCTATTATGAGACCCCACACCACTCTGGGAAACGCTGCCGGAGGACCCTCATGAGAGAGGGCTGTTTCTCATAAATTGAGTATGAGACCAGGCTCATCTGTGGCCGCTCTTCCTAACCTGCTGTAATTGCTGTGGGTGGGGTTCCTAGGCCCTAGCCTTGGGAAACTCAGGCCTGTAAACCTAGCAGGACAAACTCAGGTCCTTGACCCCGCCCCAGGGTCCCATCTCTAGGTGACAGAAGTTCTGTCTCCCAGGGCAGTAGAGCCTGACTTCCCCTACCCTGCCCCAAAGCAGAAGTCGGGATACTCCAAGCAGCGGATTTGTTCACTTGTTTCTTGCTGGTGCTGCTAGGGAACAAAAAACCCGCCTTCCTGCACAGCCAAATAAACCGTCTGCTCTCATACAGTGATTATAAATGAGTTCTTTAACAAATCTTCATTTTCATAGCCTCCCTCCTAACCCTTCCATGGCACTTTACAGTATACAAAGCCTTTTCAAATCTATTGCTTTTAGCTATTTTCTGCAGAAGAGAAAACGGCATTCAGAAACCAAATTGCTGTGGTCCTGGTAGTGTGCTCTGTGCTAATCTGTGTGTTTAAGGCTCTGCAAATCCACTTCCTCAAATAATTATTCAGGAGCTTTTATCTACCCATCACAAAGAAACATATTGCAAGGAATACAAGTGACTCTGGTTACCAAAGTGAAAGGTATATTCTTAGCATTAGGTTTAATGCTAAGAAATGGATTGTAAGGCTTAATGGAAAGACAGACAGACAAATAAAAATCATATTTTAGGGAAGCAGAAAGGGTCCAGTACCAGACAGAAGAGGTTTAACTCAAGTAAGGAGCCATCGTGAGTCTTATGAGCAGTATATTTTAGGAGAGTAAGTTTGGCAATAATTAGCAGAATGGTCTTCAGAGAGGGAGAGATAACTTAGAAAAGCTAGCTAAGAGTTTAAATCAGTGTCTTTAAAATTTCAACATAGATTCAAATTGCTGGAGGGTGGCATTGAAATGTGTTGATTGGGTAGGTGTGTGTGGGACCTACAATCTTGCTACTTCTTACCAGAATCCAGTACCATGCCCACAGCGCTGGTACCGTGCATTCCTTCTGACTCTTGAGGGTTCTATTAATCCAAGCATCAAGTAAGTGGGGAAATGGATGAGGAAGTAACCATGAATTGGACTCCCTTAGTGTGATCTCAAAGCGGCATCAATATCACCTAAGAACTGGTCAGAAATGCAGATGCTCAAGTTGTACACGTGACCTACAAAGCATCAGAAATCCTGGGCTGGGTGCAATCTGTTTTAGCAAGTTCTCCAGGCGATCTTTATGCACATTCATGTTTGAGATCACGATGCTAAAAATCTTAAGAAAATCAAGTGACCGGTTTCAGTTTGCAGAGTGGTAACAGGTGGCCATCACTGGGCGTCCCAAGACACTTTCTGTGATGTGGCTTGATATTTCTGCTGGGGGCTGGGGATTCAGCTCAGTGGCATAAGCGCCTGCTTTTGCAAGTGCGCGGTCGTGAGTTTGATCCCAGGTACTGATTTAAAAAAAAAAAAGATATTTCTGCTACTGAAAGGCATTCAGTTCCACAACAATGTGAGGATGCCTAGGACCTCGGAACACTGAAATATATGTACTAAACACTAAAGATGATTCAGATTGTAAATTTTATCTTATGCCTATCTTTCTGCATTTTTCAAAGTTATGTGAAGCTAAGATCAAAATGCCCTCCCCCAGCTGCCTTTCAAGTCATTGTTTATTGCTAACAGAATTAAATAGATTCTGCATGGGGCTCCTTCCTTCCCAACAGAACATCCACCTGGTAGCCAAGTGGCTCAGCACCCTGGAGAAGAAGCTGGAGGAGCACAGTGAGAACAGCCACCCAGAATTCAGGGTCTTCATCAGTGCAGAGCCCGCGCCCTCCCCTGAGGGCCACGTCATTCCGCAGGGCATCCTGGAGAACGCCATTAAGATCACCAACGAGCCCCCCACGGGTATGCATGCCAACCTGCACAAGGCCCTGGACAACTTCACTCAGGTACTGCCTGGGAGGAAAGGAAGACAGAGTACTGTGCCTCCCAAAGAGCTGCCTTAAACCAGTGCCGGGTGTGGGGTGGAGCGTCAGGTGGACTGCACATCATACTGATGGAGGTAAAATACTCACCCTGTGCAGCTGACCTCTACCCCGCAGTGCAATACAGCGCCCAGTTGCTGGATGCAGCTATAGGCCTTTCTGGGGGACTTCCTCTAAGTCGACTTTTAACTTATATTCAAAGATGGAGGGCATATGGCTATAAGACAGATCTGATAGACCCACGTACGTATTCATTGGCTAAGCAGCCTACCTTTAAGCACGGGAATCACACATTTGTTTTAGTGGTTTTACTCACCATCTACATAAGTCTTGACCATGGAGGGTTCACATTATCCAGGTTCTGATGCGCTGGAAATTGCACGAAATCTCTCTGAAGCCACGCTAGTAGCATCCCCCGAGAACATGTTGGAAGTGTAGGTTCTCAGGCCCCACTCCAAACCTCCTGAACCAGACACTGGCATGCAATCTGCTTTAGCGAATCTTCCAGGAATTTTAGCGAATCTTCTGAGTGATTTTCAGGCACAGTCGAGTTTGAGAACATAGAATGTCAAGACACAGAGGTCAGCTACATTACGAGAATTTCCATTACCGACAGTTCCAAGACTCATGCTACGGAGTGTGCTCTTAAAGGCCAGGTCAGGCCTGTGGGTGTCCTGTCCGGTATCTGAAGTAGCACCTGTGAAGTCTGCAGCTCAGGCTCTTTCATCTTCTCAGAAAGGCAGTATTTCTTACATTGTTTCTCCCTCAGGAACATCCACCTTCCTGGCAAGGGGAGTACACGGAAGTATTTATGAGTGGCCCAGGGTCACCAGTCCCCCCGCCACACCAAGCTTTGTTGGCATCTAAGGAGAAGCTTGTAGGAGCTGTTGGAGAGATTTTCTGTCTGATGTTATCTTATAAGAGTACCATTGAGTCTCTAGTTTCACAGAAACTGAAACTCAGTCCCAGATAGGCTTGAAATTGAAATGTTAAGAATAGCCACCCTGCAGGACAACAGTTTCAGAAACCCCAGTGCAAAGCATCTGTGCTACCAGCCCTTTGGAGTCTGTTTTAACTTAAAAGCAGATCGATTTTACCGACTACATGATAACTTCATGGCATACGAGTTGCATATCCAACTCAGGGTGGGAAGTGTCCACAAAGTTCTAGGAGCGGAACACATCCCATAGCCTCTTTTATACTCCTGTTTGCCATCTAACTCTAAAATCCATACATCATCTGGATCAGAGCCTGGGGGATCATCACCAGGAGATTTGGGATATTTTGGCTTGAAGTTTGTGTTAAAAAACATCCTGGACTTTGTATCTCAGGGAAAACATGAGGTTTCCCTATCGGGAGATCTTTCTTTCTTTTTTCTGTTTTTCTAATCAGGCCGTAATGAACCTCCTCGGTACCGTGAACCAGAGTACAGAGGTCAAAACTTTTAAATTTTCTAGCCTTTATGTTCTACGTAGGAGAAACACATGCACTTAGGTTTTACCTGGACAGCGTTCCTTACAGAAGGCTTGAGCAGACAGAGCTCTGCCTTAAAATCATAGATGTTCTTGAGCTTTTTTCCCTGCAAATCTTGATCACTTTGTATGAACTGAACTGATGTTCCTGAGCTCTTTTCCCTGCAAATCTTGATCACTTCATATGAACTGTAATCTCGGGTATTCAGGAGGCTGAAGCAAGGACATCACAAGTTCTAGACCACCCTGGGCAATTTAGCAAGACCCTGTTTCAAAATACTTTAAAAAAAAAAAAAAGATGAGTATGTAACTCAGTAGTAAAGCACCCCTAGGTTTGATCCCTAGCATCATAAAATAACCAGCCACACAAAGAATTGGCTTGCACGGCAATGTAAGTGCACATAATATCAGCTAAAGAATGGTGATAATGGTAAATATTGTATCGTATGTATTTCAACACAATTTTTAAAAAGTTGAAAGGGAGATAAAACGCCTTAGGATACAGTGAGGGAACTCTGTAGGACCCATGGCAAACCAACCATGCTCTCAGTCGCCCTCTATGAGGGCCCCAGGCAGAGGCAGAGGGGGCAGCAGATGCCTCACACATTATACATCCTGTTGGCATCTTGGCAAAGACCTGTCATCTATAGCCACGCCTGGCCAGCAATATTTTTGCAATACCTAATAATGACATTCTTCTTGGGGCACCAGTGCACATGCGTATCCACCTCTTAAGCATCTTTCCCTTCTCCTCCTCACCCTCCTGTGTCACCTACCCTCCGCTTCCTTCCCATCTTCACAAATCTTGTGCCCTGTTGCTGCAAGAGCTTTCACTGCCCTGTTCTGCTTTCATGAGCACCCCAGACAAGAGCCCTGCTCAGCATTCCCTCTGCTCCTCCGGCCACATTTTTAACCACTTAAAGGATAAACTGCAGAACTAATCTCTTCCTAATTCCTGCTTCCACGATAGCTGTGCTGTTTGGGGATGCTTATTTTGAACTGATTTTTACGTGAGTATGCCACTGTTAGCCAGTGTTGGCATTTGAATGTAAGATTTCTTGTCTTTGTGCTGAAAGGCATTTTTCAGCAGGCTCTGGTTTTCTGGGATGTGTAGGAAGTAACAAGCAAAGCATCCCACTTGTCTGTAGAGAGAAGCTCTATCCAGGAAGCAGTTATTAAATTCTTGGCTGCGTACGACTATGGCCTTGTCCTCTGCTCTCTAATCCCCAATCCTTTGTGGCAAGCTTGGTACCCAGTGAAGGCATCGCAGGGACCCACAAGTTAGAAGGAGACAGAGATCATGCCCTGGTTCTCTGTGGGAAAATCAGACTTGCTGGAAGCTCACTCTGTCCTGTCCCTTCTGGTGTTGCTGCCCATGCAAGCAGTCAGAGGCCAATTCCTAAATAAATGCCAGGAATGAACCCAATCCAATTAGTGGAAGCTGAAAAGGTGCTTTTCCTGGGCGCCACCTGCCACATCTCACTTCATGCTGGGTGGAAAAGTCTCACCCAGAGAGGGTTATTTTTCAATCCAAAGAATCCAGGAGCTGCCATCCTATTATCCCTTTAAAATCTAGGCTGTTGTCCTCTATTCCATTGCTACCATTGCCCTTAACCATTGCCCCAGAGTCTAAGCTTCTGTTTGCTGCCACCGCCCCTGCTTCCTTCTCTTCTTCAGGAGCTGCATCTTCTCGGCTTCATGTCTGTAACTGGAAGCCCCCTGTGCTCTTGGTCCCTCAGCCTCGTGCTTTCTCACCCGGGCTCAGTTTGGGGGGAGCAGTGTGAGCCTAGGGGACGCACTCCTCTGTCTCTTGTGGCCCTGTTTCCCACTCTTCCAGCAGACGAGCCAGAGACCGAGGTCCTGTAACTAGCAGGCAGGAAGGGCAGGTTTCAGTACAGGACTGCAGGCATCCTCGCCACACCCCAAGCACAGCGACACAGACAGAACACTACATTCCTGTGACCCACTGCCCTGTTTTCATTAGCTTTGTTAGGGAAACTAATTAATACATCCACGTGTACAAACTAATAATACATAGTTACTAATTAATACATCCACGTGTACAAACTCAAACCATAAGCCAACCTAATGTAAATAACCTGAATCTAACCCTTAAAACGTTAAAGGCATTATAACGACACAAGCATGCCTATGTTTATAGCAACACAAAGCATGATAGCTAAATTTTTGAAGCAGCCTATGTATCCATCCACAGATGAATGGATAAAGAACATGTGATGTTTGTACACAGTGGAGTATTACTCTGCCATAAAAAGGATAAACATGGATCATTCATTGGAAAATGGATGTATCTTGAGACCATAATATTCAGTGAAGTAAATCAAACACATAAGCTTAAATATTGCATGATTTATCTTATAAATGAGACTCGAAATATCACTATCAAGCAAAGTAAAAGGTAATAGGACACTGGGAGATCAATCGTTTATATAAACAAGGCAGAGAAAGAGACAGAGAGAAGGAAAGAGGTTGAAAAAGAAATATGCTTATTATGTAGTTGTACCAACTCTGTGATTAATGTAATCGTTTTGTGCTGCAGACACATAGGAAAAAGAAAATACAAGTATTTATATATACAAGATAGTTACGTAGCCAGCTTCTCTCTATTCCTTGAATGTTTTGTGCTAATATTGTTTAGACCGGACATCATGCCTCTTTCCTGTACTCCTAATAACTACAAAGAAGACAGCAAGATGCAGTGTATCAACTGTTGTAATTGTCCTACTAACATGTTTTGAAACTCAGTTTCATTGTTTATCTTTTTTCTCCTTAAAATTAAAAAAGTACCAGTAAAAATAAATAAGCAATTTTTTGCAAACTTAACTCAAATGTCCCCCTCCCCTCCCCTCTCCTTGATATGACCTTCAGTCTCACTGTAGTTTAAATGCTAACCAAGACTGACTTTATCCAGCATGAACCCCAACTGTAACCCCACCCGGTTTCCCTGGACACGGGAAACTGTGGGCACTGCATGTGACACTTCTGTTGTTCACTTTCAGGACACCCTGGAGATGTGTTCCAGAGAGACAGAGTTTAAGAGCATCCTGTTTGCTCTTTGTTACTTTCACGCAGTGGTGGCGGAAAGACGGAAGTTTGGGCCCCAGGGATGGAACCGATCCTATCCCTTTAATGTTGGGGACCTCACCATCTCCGTGCATGTGCTCTACAACTTCCTGGAGGCCAACGCAAAGGTAACGTAAGTGGTGCAAGCCCGCTCTCGGGATGGTGAGTCATCCCGCACAGAGCAAGGGAGGGTGCCTCACACGAGTCTCCACGCCACGCAAGTGGGACGTGCAGGCCAAGCCCGGGACCTGCAGGAGGACCCAGCCAGGCAAGCTCAGGAACCCAAATTAGTGGCTCACACCCAGTGTGAGGCAGTCCCTTGGGAAAGTGTCCCAGTGTCCCCAGAGCGCCTGTGTGTACTCTCAGCATGGCAGGCAGGCTACAGATTGGCAGGAAGAGACCCCACCTTCACCTGACATGAGCTCCCTATTCTGCTATCCAGGGGTGCGGAACTTCTGGTGGGACTCACAGTGTGTTGCCTGCGGTGTGGCTTTTCCAAAGTCGAAAAAAAAGTCTTGCTGTATCCCCTCTTCCTCTGTTTTGTAACTCAGTTTCAGAGAAAATGTGTGTTCACAATCAGTATCTCCCATCTGAAAGACTGTTCACATCATCAAGGCTTTCCTAGTTTTTGCACTAAAGGCAGCCTCAGCAGGGCACCACCTCTTCCTGGTGGGGGGGAAAACTGTGAGACCCACGTGCCCCAAGAAAGCAAGCCTTCTCTCTCCAGCCCTGGGGCTCTGGGAAGCCCACTCCCCCATCACATCATCCCTTAGTTTCCCTTCATGTGTTGATTTGCCCCAAAAGTCTTCCTCCTCTAAATCTCACCATGGAAGCTGTGGTTCCTCCACTCTGAACTTTCAAAGTGGGCAATGAATTAGTCTCATCGTTAGCAGCAAAAAAGTCAGAAAAGTTCTCTGGTCCTCATTTTTCTCCATTTGACACTTGCCTATTTTTAAAGGGCTTCTAGAAAGAGCCAGACTTCACTGTCACAGTCAGCGGCCATGAAAGAGGGGAGATATAGTGTGAGGGCTGTCACCTTTCCCCTCCTCACCATGTGCTATAAATCTCCTTCAAGTATTTAATGAGCCCCCAAAGCATGCCTGGTACACCAGACCCTGGTGATGTAACCATAAGACACTGCCCCTGATCTCAAGAGTCACCCAAGCTTATGGTTTATCCTCTGCCTGCGCATCAAGCAGCCCCACCGCCTGGGAATGGATATCTTTCTGCCCCCCTCTCAGGTACCCTATGATGATTTGCGCTACCTGTTTGGTGAGATCATGTATGGAGGCCATATCACCGACGACTGGGACAGGAGGCTCTGCAGGACGTATCTGGAAGAATTCATTAAACCAGAAATGTTAGAAGGGGAACTGTCCTTAGCCCCAGGGTTCCAACTCCCGGGCAACATGGACTACAGTGGTTACCATCAGGTGAGGCTCTGCCCTGTGCTGGAGATAGTCAGCTTGGGGAACCTGGGGGGCCCTCCCATCTGCCTACACGCCCTACAACTCACGCTGCAGCATGCTGTAGGCCATGGGCTTCAGGCAGAGTCCAGGAAGAGCTGTCTAAAGAGCTCAGTTTCCATCATCTTTATCCTCTGTCCAAGTTTATAATTCTGTTTCTGCCTGATTTCTGCACATAATACCCGGGCAGTTATTTGATGGTTCTGATACAGAATATTGACAGTCATTATTTGTGGAGAACATTTCAGGTAAGAATTTGACACTTGGTAAAATTTATATGAGTGATTATAGATGTCTTCAAATAGGATGATCTTGTGGCCAGATCACTTAACCCTCCTACTCTGTGAGTTGCTGTGAACTCAGTAGCACATACAGAAAATAAAATATTCTCTGCAGGATACAGTAGTGTACATTCGTAATTCAAGCAACTCAGGAGGTTGAGGTAGGAGGATCTCAGGTTAGAGGCCAAATGGAGCGATTTGGTGATAGCCTGTTTCAAAATAAAAAATAGAAAGGACTGCAGTGTAGCTCATGGAGAACTGTGTGCCCATCATGCAAAGGCCCTGAGTTCAATCTTCAGTAAAGAACAACAACAAAATAAAATCTCACAATATCTACTTTTTCATGTACTATTTTTTAAAATTTTATTTTAAAGAGGATACAACCAAGAAAAATAAAACCAACCAAAACAAACTAATGCAAGTGACACAGGACTTCAAAACAATACAAAATCAGCAGTGGGTACCATAATGCCGCTTGTCTTCAAAATAGCTGTAGATACCTTCAGACATAGTAAAAATCAACAGAACAGAATAGAACCAATAAAAACAAAATAATGAATGCAATAAAGAACTTCAAAAAAAGACAATAGTAAATCCAAAATGGCTACCATAAGGTATCTTGTTATCTTTGAAATAGCTGCTCGTGCCATCAGATTTAGCAAATCAAACAAACAAACAAACAAAAAACAGAATAAAACTCAACCCAACCAAACAATGAAAATGATACAGGACTTCAAAACCAGCTAACGGGGAATTAACACTGGATACAACCCTCAGAAGGAGATCCCCATAGATGCCACACTGCTTACTACGATCCTCTGAACAGATGATCAGACAACTGGCCCTAGACCTGCAAGGTCAGTGAACACCAAACATCACAAGCATCAAATTACATTTCACTTCAACAGCTACCATTACAGCCTGTGTTTCTCCTGCTCAGCCCAGCCGGTTGCTTAGAGGGGACAGGGGGGAGTGGGTCTTCCTGTTTGCTAGCCAGCAAGCCGGAAAGGACTGGGGTCCGACTGTCCCCCCACTGCTGGTGGCCCACACGTGGCATGGTTCACAAGGAGGGCTTGCTTCTTGATGAATTCTTGTTCTTTCTCCCTGCAGTCTGCAAATGGCACTGACTCATGGGAAAAGGCTGGGGTCTGGATGTCCCCCCACCCACCCCACCACTGGTAGCCTGCTCATGGAGCCGGTTCTCAGAGCTGGCTTGCTTCTTGGTGAATCCTTTTTCTCTCCCCTCGAGGTCCGCAAATCTCATGTACTATTGATATGAGTATTTCTAAAGCATTCAGCTTTGGCTATTGAATCTGCTATGAAAAATAGACTGAAAGATAATTTCTCAAAAAAATTTCTTGCTGGACTTTTGAACATGCTTGAAAAAATTTAAACTTACCAAAGCTTACATGAAACTTAAAAGAAATAACAGCCACTGAAATATTAACCACAAGCTTTAAAAAATTTTAATTCATAAAACTTAAAAGGATTAGTCATAAAGTTGTTTGATCCAGAAAAATCCATACCTATGATCAGAAGTTTAAAGTCAGATGCTAAAGAAAGCAAGAGGAATTAAATTACTTTTAAAGGTACTGCCCAGGAAAATAGTTCAAGAGCATCCCCTAGTGTCCACAACAAATTATTTGACAAAGTGAGAAACAGCCTCACATAGGTCTGATTGTCTTATCAACAGTAGTGACATGTTTTGCACATTTCCAAATATCCAAGGTGATGTTTCCTTCCTTAGTACCTCTCTTCAATCTTTCAGTTAATGAGTAGTTACACTTCCCTGCCAAGGGTCCTGTAGTGCCAGGAGTCCTGGAGAAAGTATAAAATTAATCATGCAAATTGGCCTTCACTTCTATTAGATGTTAAAAACATCACAAAATCATCAGAATCATGTTAGGAGCTTAACCTGGGTAATATTTTCTTTCCATCATAAAAAGAATTATGGAATACTCAAAACATTCAGAGGAAAAAGTGACCCTGACAAGCTGGGTAGAGTTATTCAGGCAGAGCAGATTATGGTCCTTAGAACTGACCAAAGAGATGTGTTGTTTGAATGATTCACTGTTTAAAATTTTTGTTTCATTGTCTTTCGTCAGAGGCATGAGGTTTTCAGTTTCTGGCCAGGTTCCCTCACGCTGCAGCCCAGATCACATGCTCATTTTGCATACAGAGTCCTGTGTGTGTGTTTAGGTGTATCATCCCTGGTTTGGATATACAGAAAAAGAATTTTAAAAGGAGAGGGAAAGCCGGGCGCGGTGGCACACTTCTGTCATCCCAGCACTCGGGAGACTGGGACAGGAGGACCGTTGTGAGTTCAAGACCAGCCTGGGCTACAAAGTGAGCCCGAGGCCAGCCTGAACCACATAGTGAAACCTGTCTCAAAAAAACTAAATAAGTATATAAATAATAAAATAAAATAAAAAGGAAAGAGCTGGCATCCCAGAAGAGTTTGTATAAAAAATACCAGGGAAGGACTCATATTTTTGATAAGCTGAGAAAAGTCCTGCAGGGCTATGAATCAACAGGCATAAGGTCATCCAAGATTCCTGAAAAAAAAGACACAGCTACAATGAATACAGAAGCTGGGAAACTGGAATGGTGTAGGCAGACAGATGGTGCCAGCCACAGGCTGGGGGTGCACACGGGCACACAGGCTGAAGTCCGCTCACTGAGCGGTGGTCCCTGGAGAGCCCCACAGGGAGGAGAGGCCACAGGAGGCAGGAGAGGTGCCCTGGTCACTGGCTAAGCGAGCGAACCCTTGCTTTCAGTACATCGATTCCAAGCTGCCCCCGGAGTCGCCCTACCTCTACGGCCTCCACCCAAATGCCGAGATTGGTTTCCTGACTCAGACCTCAGAAAAACTCTTCCACACAGTACTGGAGCTGCAGCCTCGGGACAGCCAAGATATGGACGGAGCTGGCAGTGCAAGAGAAGAAAAGGTATGTAATAGGGGTTCTCTGGGCTGGCTCCGGGGAGCCCCAGGACTGCAGATGGCCACTCTTCTGAATGACAACATTTCCGGTACTCAATGGGTACCATGCACTGAGCAGCCAGTCTTCAGATGCTGGCCCTCACCTGCAGGAGTCCCTCCCTGTCCAGCCATGCCAAAATGCAGAACCTCTGGTTAAATGTAAGAAGTCCCTCACATTTTGGGGGACTCACAAGTTGGGGTTGACTGTGCCATTTCATCCAAAGTCAGTTTTTATTCAGTTTGTCTGCCAAAGAGTGGGAAGGTCAGGGTTAAACAGTTGTAGTTTGGGAACCTTAACACTGACTGCATAATTATTTGGCATAATAAGGAGTGATGGATGCAAAGATGCTTTTATACACCTCCACCCGCTCCCAGCAGCTAGAGGTGCATTTGGATAAACACACTTCTCTTAATGAAAAGGCTTGCTCTTTGTGTGGATGACTTCTAGCCAGTCTCTGGACGCATGATGTAGTGCTCCTAAACGTGGATCTCTTGAGGTTTCAGGAAGGTGTAGGGAAGTTACGGAGTAGAAATGCAGACTAAGGTGAGGTTGAGTTTGAGGACAATACAGAAGGCAATACAGATGCTCTGCTCCAGGTATAAGGTTAGCACAGAGCAGAAAAACAATAGGTCACCAGACTGAAACAGCTCTGTGGAATTTCTCCTAAGACAGGCTAATTCAACTTCCAAAAGGAGTGTGTCCACCAGTCCGCCCTTCTCTCCTACCACTGCCTGCGTTCCTTTACTTTGAGATACAGGACTGTTAGGTTTTTTAGGAAGCATCCTTGTAAGATTAAGAGTTAGGAACCCTGGTTGGTCACCAAACTTAGAATGTGGACTGATTTTTAGAAGTTGATTCGTACTAAAGGTGTGATCCGAATGGTGGCTCTCGATTTTTTATGCTTAAGACTGAGCCAGAGAGCTAGAAATTATGACTGGGCGTATTATTGATGGTAAGAAGGAGAGAGGGAGAAAGAGGAAAAAAGGAGAATGGAAGGGAGAAAGGAAGGAAGGAAAGAAAGAAAGGAAAAATTGCTTCTGACACTTGGAGTTAGGTCCCCAAACTGGTAATGATTCAAGTTGCTTTAACTCACACTACTCAGCCTGTTCCACTATTTCGTAAGGATATAATTTGAGAATAAAATGAAACAAATAATCGGAACCACCCAGAAATAAAAGAATTCTTATCTCTAAAAATGAAGAAGGTTGACTATATAAAAAACAGCTTTAGGACTTTGCAGATAAAATTCAAAACAGCTTCTAATCCTTGCCATTTACCTATCCCTTCTCCTAGCTAAATCAAGAAATTGTGTGTGTCTGTGTGTGTGTGTGTGTGTTTCCAAAAATGACATGAATTGTTGTTATTTGCTGCACACAGTACCATGTGGGATGACGGTGCAGGTTATAGGGTGTATGTGCAATTGTGCTGTGTGTGGGTGGCTCACCATGGAAGTGTCTTTCAAATCACTCCCAAAATCTTGTGAGCTTTATTATTTCCCATCTCAAGATGGGAGGCCAAGAGCCAAAGCCCAGAGTGAATATTTTATCATTTGGTAGGTAATAAAGGACCGAGAGGCTGCACACTCCCCCTACTTTTGGTTCAAATCTATTCTCAAATCCACATCTCCGTGGCGAGCAGCTGGGGATTTAAGTATAGGGCTCAGCTCAATGTGCC